AGAAGCAAAGAAGCAGCAGGTCTCATTAACACGACGCACCCTGCCTTACTTCCAACTGTTGTTGCTACAATGCTCTTCCTTCTCTCAATCCTCGTCTGCCTTTTTGTATAAATCTTCATTATTTAGTGTTCGCTCCACCTAACCCTTTCAACCGTTCGTCAGCCTGATTGGACGAGATTCCAAAACTTACAAACTGCGGCTTTAGACTGTAGGGAGCTTGTTTTTACAGTTGTTGTTCGTTGAAAACTTTTTTTTTTTTTTTTTATAGAGGGTTTGATTTGCACTTTGTTTTTACACCTCTATCATGACCCTCCACGCGTTGTCCTCTCGTCCTGGCCTGTGGAGCCGTTCCGAGGCGCGCAGTGCTGCTTTGCATTGAGAACCTGCAACAGTCTTATCTACAATGGAAAAGGAAAGGCTGCCGGGGCCTTGTTACGAAAAATTCCTTAAACAGATTAGCAGCAATGTAAAAAATATAATCGTGAGGTGCAAAACTCTCCGCACCGTCTCTGAAAACAAATTCAACAAACCGAAAGGCGACCTCCAATTTGCGGAAACATTTGCAGGTTAGCAACTTTTTTGTCACTTTCAATAATACTTAGTTATAAAAAAAATAATAATAATGGCTCGTCTATATCTTCCAGCTGAAACACGCTCAAGTAAATCATGAAATTGAGGCGTCCAAGAGGCCGCAGTTCTGGAATAATTCGCGGATTCTAATTTTCGCGACGCGGTGGGGTAGCACTATAGATTCAAATGGGTTTGCATTTTCCGGAATTGCTCGCGGGACTTATTTTTCGCGAATTGGAGGCGAATCGCGAAATTCACACAAATAAAGTCGTTTACAGTGCATTATGAAGTTTTCGAGGTTGTTCTTGCCATGCTAAATTCATATCGGTCTTCTTTACGAGACGCATAACATCGATACAATCATTGCTATCCTAATGATTAGCTGTATGAGAATCCTAAATTTATTATCTATATCAGGGGCTTTTTGGGTGTTAGCGTGCAGTGAATTAATCCAGAATCCCTGGCAATAGAGTTTATTTATTTATTTATTTATTGTACCCTCAGGGCCCGAGGGCATTACAGAGGGGAGTGGGTTACAAAGTAAAATCACTAAAAAACAAAATGACAACCGAAGAATAGAAACACGAACATAAGAAATTTTAACTTAGAAAAGTGGTTAAACAACGCTTAAACATAGTGGCATCTGTTACAGACACAACTGACGATGGAAGGTGGTTCCACGTGATTGTTGTTTTGGGGATGAATGAATTATAAAAAGTAGTGGTTTTACAAACAGGTAGACCGATTTTGTGTTGGTGATCGACGCGTGGCGAAAGAGTTGCTGCTATTGTGAAACTAATTTTGTGAAAGCGACCACAGTTCGCGTGCTACGGTTACCCACATCCGGCATGTTACAAGTCCACAGACAGGGAGAGGCAGCGAATCATCGTGGCTGAAATGTTTTCGTAGGTTGTCGTATTCTTTAAATGTTTGACGTCGTTTACAAGTTTCTCTTATTAGGTATTTTTAAGTGAGTTTTATGATACCGTACTGCCGCATATTTGTTTCCTTGTATTATTTTAAGTTTATTTTTTGTTGGTTTGACTTGGATACCGTTTGCATGAGCTCTAAGGAGATTCACATCGCACCTGTGAATTTTGTCGCCATTTATTTTTAGTTTTTGAGAATATAAGAATGCAGGAGTTCATGACTCCAAACTATTAAGTTCTATAATCTATTTAACAAATTTCATAAAAGGAAAGTACAATGCGTGGCATTTATACAGCGGCCATATAACTCGTTTACAGTTATATGGCCCAAAGTGGGTAACTCCCAGAAATAAGTAATTGTAAAGTAATTGCATTACTTTTAAAAAGTAATTTGTAATTGCAATGAACTACTTTCGCGTAGTAGTAATTGTAATTGTAGTTAAACTACTTTGGAAGCCAAGTAATTGTAATTGTAATTAAATTACATTTTGAAAGTAATTTACCCATGTATGGTTGGGACTGTGAGGAGTGTTGTTTGCATTCGGAAACAACATTTTGCGAGCCATGATTGTGAGCAGTTCCGCCACGCCCGCTGAGCAGGAGAATCGGGGGACCCTCACTAGAGTGCTTCCCGTTTCCGCCGCGGGAGGGCGAGCGTCGAGCTGGAGACGCGAATTGGGTCCGAGTCTCCTCTCGTCAAATCACTAAAATGAGAAGTGATCCAGAGGACCAAAAAGTATATAATAATGCAACTGTAAACCAACTCTAGGAGTAGTGCAGAGCATCGCACGTGCTTTGTAGTTTGCCAACACCTAGCTTAGAACATTTCTGCGAAAGGCCCAAATATGACAGCTTGTACCTCTTCTATGCACTCGCTCTTTCTCCAGTGCTCGCGGCACCAATGTGTTGTTCGTGCCCAGAAGCCACCACACTTTGCGTGCTTTGTCACTCCCAGAAGAAAGCAGCGTTGGAGCTGCGAGTGCTGCAACACCGGCAAGGGCCACGACTGGCCCTTGTCCCGAGGCGCCAGGTGTGGCTCGTACAAGCAGGGCCGGCGTTGGAGCGAGCTCCCGAGAGCGAGGCCCGTGTCGTCGCCCTCCAGAAGGAGGAGCAACGAAAAAAGGCGCAACGTGTGCAGCAGATGCTTCGGCATCCACTTGCACATCAGCGACATATGCTGGAACTAGAGCTGCTACAGCTCGAGAAGATGATAAAGGAGCAGCAGCTGCCAGCCACAAGTGGAACCCGCTTTTAGGCACGAGTGTTTTGTTTCTAATTGGAATGTACTACCACGAAATGTGTCTGTACGTAATGTTTTATTATCCTTGGCATTAAAGAGAAAGAAAATGTGTCTGGGTAGCATAAGTTTGCTCTGGCAATGCATGGCAGCATGGCTCACGAGAAGGCCGTTAACCTTTTTTTTTTGCCCAATCCCCCAAAGTTTTTTTAGGTAATTACTATACCAGCTCGGGCGATAGTTGCAGGGAAGTGGAGGGAAAAACAAGGTGGGTATCTTAATAATTTTATTTTTTTATATTGAGGGGGGTAAATTTGATCCAAGCTACTGCCCGTTACAAAGGGTACAGCCAGTATCCATCCATCCATTTGAGAAATTTAACCAGTGTAGTATGACTGCTTACACTTTCTGATGGTTAAACAGTCCTTGGTTATTTTCAGATCAATGTTTGTTTCATGCAGGGCAATTTTGTTGTTTCAGTGAGTCCCTCTTTTATTTTACTATTCACCCAAGAGGGCAAAATAAGAGAAAAGCGTTCTGTGAAGCGTTTTGATAATTTAGATTGTAAGCCAATCGCGAGTGTTCATTTTTGTATGTCTGAATAGTACAAATTGATCTCTTTATGTATTGACATTCTTAAATAACTAGTTTGTGTAGACAAGTGCCAATTGTTATCTTTTTGCCTAATTGCAATTGTTTGAGTCAACTTTGTTTAATAAAGGGACAAAATGTGCTCAATATTGTGATGTTTCACATTTTGCCACATTTCTTTCGTTACAATTCATGTCATTCATATTTTACTCCTATCATTGCTGCATGTTGTTTAATGAAATTTTCATGTATTAAATGTCATTAGCAATCACGTCCGCCACAACTGTCATGGAGTTCAGATGGACCTCATTCACTCTCCAAGGTGAGGGTGTCTAGCAAATTATTATTTTGAAATTCCCCAACTTTTTCAGGTTTTCCCTTACAATTTCAGGTGAAATCCTTGACCACTATAGAGGCAGTTAAGTATATAAGACCATTACAACACAAGGCATTGAGCAATAAGCACTGTGAGGATAATTTTGCATGGGCTTAATCCAACTTGCATATTCCGAAATATCCGGGTTCATCCAGTTCAGACTAAACAAGCACTTTCTTGCCGCCGACATTGTCAGTGAAGAGGCCACTTCTGGAAATACGATGAAACACGACTCTCAACCGCACATGTCAATAACTGAATGGCAACATGGCCACACGGCCGCCAGATACACAAATTCGACTTAAGGCTTGGATTGGGTAGAAGGGTATGCACTTGGGCTAGTTGGTGATCCATGTTTGTGAGGGCAAAAGCGCTAAAAACAACGGACGAGTAAAAGAAAAGAACACAGAGCGCTCTGTGTTGTTCGTTTCTTTTATTCGTCCGTTGTTTTTAACGCTTTTACCCTCACAAGCTTGGATTGGGGCGTGCGGCTTTCCCATTTGCTACTAAATCTAGTAGCTCTAACTAGATCTAGCCTAGTGTCGTGCTCTCAATCCAGTCCAAAACTTGAACTGGATGTGTCGGCCCTTCTCTTTGCATAAAGTAGCACACTCTACATCGGATGAGCAGAGCCCGTGCTCCGCTCTAAGCAGAATTTATTGCCCATTTTTCTGCCCCCAAGTCCTCAAGTCTTTGCTCAGGGCACTCGATGGCATTTCCGGCTCCCTGACTGGGCTAGTTTTTGACAATATCCCTGACAATTGCCCAATTTTTCCCGGTAATTAAAATTCCCCTGGCAATTCCCAGCTTTCCTGGTAGCTAGACACCCCACACTGCTACTTGGGGCATGGCCTCCGACATTCTTGGCGCTAAAATTTTTCCTTTAACCGTTTCAGATGTTTGGTCACCAGCAGGAGCACAACTACCCTATTTCTGGAATGTTTCGCCAGGCAGAGCTGCTTTCTGAAACATTGGCTCAGCAGCCCGTCAAAAACTACCGGGCATGGTGCCCTGAAGGTACAAGGCCTGGCTGGTTCGGCAACAGGCGACGCCGTGCAGCCCAAATAACCGGAAGCCATTTTTCTAACCTGTCTCGCCCGACGAGTGAGCAGCCAGCGGGAGCTTTGCATACCGGTTTTCGAGTAGAGTGAAGGTGTGAAGCGCAAAATAGTCGAGGGCTTCCCCGAGAAACTGCTAAGCTATTACAGCGTCCTCTCTAATAACCCAGGATCTATTGCATGCATCATACGTGATAATATTCACTGCAACAGCAAGATACGATTTCAAACATGGGAGCATTCATTTATTACCGAAATAAACAACCTGCGCAAAAAGTAAACATCTGCTGCCCGAGTCAGGTAGTAAAACTAATATGAAATCGAACTAAGAAAATACACTGAATATCAAATAGCAAATGTGATGATTGTGATCTATCGTCATTTTCTAAAGAAATGCCCTCACTGGAAACACCGCGCTATGATGCGTGTGCGTGTCCGCGAGCCGTTGACGGTGTCGGCTGGCTCGGGAGGGGAAGGCAAGATGTGGGGCTTCTGGCGTCGACGAGGGACTGGTGGAGGAGGTGGAGCGGGTGGGCATGGCTCTTTCCGTAGGCAAGCCAGGTTATGCAGAGCAGCACATGCAGTGATTACGGTGGCTGACCTTTCCCCCTTATACTGCAGCCTCATATCTAGGCACGGAAAGCGCCTCTTGAACGCATCGAATGCCCGCTCCACCGAGTTTCTTGTTTTGAGATGCGCTGCTTGGTACCTACGTGAAAGAGCATTGGTGGTGTTGGTTGTGGATATACAGTTTTCCTCTGCAACCAGATAACGTCCTTCAATATTGAGAGCTTTACACATTCGCTTTTAATCGTCGCTACTCATCGGTGTGGTTCAGGTACCCTGTACAGTACGGCCCGTCTGTGCTAGCTACATCTTTGGCATTTTCTATTACTAGTTAGTGTCTACTGCTGAACATACAATGTGATTTTGGTGGGTGTTTTCTGCATTATAGTCTACATTACCAAACTCTTTGGCCGTACTGCAACTAGCGACACAGGAGCAACTGACACCGACCAACCTTGATTAGCAACGAACATTCTCGAGAAAAGGAGACAAAACCGTGGTATGTTATATGAAAAAAACTGTGAGTGCGCAGGCGAGCTGGTGGATGTTGATCATGATGTAGAAAACCCGAGACTGTGGCAAAATCAGGGAAACTACGTCGAAAAAGAAAGACAGGAAAAAAAAATGTCTCAAACTCAGCTACTGCATTTATTTCCTCAATGCCTTATATACCCACAACCTAACCACCCTTGAAAAGAATATGTCCACAGTAAGTGGACAGCACCATTTGATTTGCAATGCAAAAGCCCAATGGTAAAACAAATCTGGCTATGAAAGAGAATTGCAGAAATAGTAGTAGCCAAACGGCACACTGCAACTAGGGCTTTGCAATTATTTCTTCCAACAGACAAGTACATACCTGCCCTCTGGGCTGTTGGCTGCCCCTGGGCTGGTGAGAGGGGTCAGAAGAAACGACATGCAGGCATAGGCCGCATCCCCGAGGAGCAGGCCAGGAATACGCCGGTGCTCGTAAAGGACCCGTGCACGGCTGTTGTCGAAGATCCGACTGTCGGGCACGGAGCCTGGCCAGCTAGCGACAAAATAAAAAAATTGCAGCTGGGGTCCTGTGATCGCCTGTGGACAGAAAGAAACAGCACTGATGAGCGGGTTGCCATCACGTGGAAACAAAAGTGCTCAAGATGAAATTTCTACTTTGGTTAGCATATGAAGTGCCTGCGCAAGGTTTTGAAAGAAAACATGCTAGAGAAATATGGCAATTTCATGATCTAAATAAGCTTAAAGGTAGCTTCATTCCAAGCTTTTTCGCAAAGTACCATAGAAGGAAATTTGAGGGTGAAGTATTGTGCAAAACTAATCGCGAGTTTGTTTCACACGCCCTGGCACCGTTCGAGTTCTCTCCCAGAATGCATCGCACTCGCAGAGTGTTGCACGGAGAACTGGACTCAAACGAACTCGCCAAACGCACCGAGTGCAGAAGACTGATGCTGCCGCCATCTATGTTGTAGGGAAGGTACCGACCTCAAACCGAAACTAGTGCCTTTCTGTTCGGAGTGATGGGTGGGAGAGTGCAGTCGCTACCAACGTTTATCTACAAACGTTGGTCGCTGCAACCTGTAGTTTATATTTGCGATGACTTCAAACCACTCAGCTCTCGTAGAGATAGTTACAGACGGCGTAAATTTCCGCAACCAGCTGTCTACAAAGCAGCTGGTTGCGATCTTTCGATTCTGTAACCATTTACATTGAAGAAAACTGATGATGCTGTCCGAGCAGAAGCTTGATCCGTTTGAGCATGGTATTATGCGTAAAATACTGAAAGGCTACGGCTTAAAACTAGACTGTTGGAATATCCAGCAAAACTTTTCGTGGGGCTTTCGATTTCGATCGTCATTACAGGTGGATCAGATATTAGCCTTGGTGAGGGCGTCCAGAACGAGAGCTTTCTCGAACAAAATATAATGGGGCAAGTTAGCTGACGTAGGTAAATGTTAAACATGATGATGTTGCCCAAGCCTCGGGTAAAGTCACTCTGTTTAGCTTTCTCTAACGCTTATTGGGCAGTCAAAGGTTTCTGCTGGGGGAGTTTTGTCGAGAAATGTTCGATTTTTCACCCGCACACGGATGGTAATGAACATCTCGGGGGCTGCTGATGCGTTTGTTCTGAGCATTTCTTTACACACTGGTATATATCAGCGTTTGTACGGCAACAGAGCGACTTAAAACCTCCAAATAAAGCAGGGTTTGTCAATTGCTTCCTTCATGGAATAGCAGACGCTCACAATTCAAGCTCGCGTTTGATTCCATTGCCCACGGGACGTGATTTCTATCAGAAAATCTACTCTTTTTTCTTTTTGGTTCTGCGACACATCGAGCAGACGACGAACCCTCGTCGTCTGCTCCCTACTCCCAATCCTCGCCGGAGCGAGGCATGACGGGATTGCATTTTGGCACACTCTCGATTTTTTCGGTGCAGCGAGTGCATGCATGCGTGGGGTGCCAGCGCCGAAACGAACTTGGAGAGTGCAACCACTCGTGGAGTGCCAACCGAAACGAACTCGCTTTTCGCCGCGAGTGGGCATGCATGGACACGAGTGCCGTAAAACGAACTCGCTATAACCCCCCCCCCCCCCCCCCCCCAAAAAAAAAAACAACAACAATGTTTTGAAGAATGAGTAAAGCTATACGCACTCCGGAGTGCACTTCGGACGGAAATGGCTATACGCACTCCGCTAAACTCGTATAAAACAAATGGCCACAATGTGTTTTCTGAGTGATATGGCATAGCATAGGGGTTAAGGTGTCCACTTTATACACAAGGGGACGCAGATTCGATCCACCGTGGGCCTACTTTTTTTTTTTTTTTTTTTTCTTGCACATTTTGTTTTGTCGAGGCATTTGGCGATATTTACGACATTTCTTTCTTGCGATGAACACTAAAAAAAACACGATAGTTGTCGACGAAACTTCGCAGAACTAAATGGTATGGGACTCCCTTTCCGAAGGTGTGATCGGGGACAGCGGGGCTCGAGTTGCCGGCTGGACGCCGCGAAGCGGCGTGTACTGGTTAAGTTTTGTAGTTAGCAGCCACATACTGTCGCCGCAAAGCGGCGTGAACGCAGGCGGGGGGCTGTGTTAACGAGCTCCCCAGTGATACACGCGCCGTTCGAAAAGGGTGGCCCGAGCGGCATGAGCTCTGCGCGGAGTGCGTATAGACGATTTAAAAGGTTAAAAAGCGCAACAAAACACGGACAATAAGGACACAAAGACGACAGGACGGGCGCTAACTCGTCCTGTCGTCTTTGTGTCGTTATTGTCTTTGTTTTGTTGTGCTTTTTAACCTTTTAAATCAGTATGAACTAACTCGCCCAAACACAAGTTTTAATACGTAGAGCCATTTCCGTCCGAAGTGCACTTTGGAGCGCGTATAGCTTTACTCTTGAAGAATACAGATTTGTTCACAAGTTCTGGTCCATATCGGTCAAAATACCTCAGAGTTCTCACATGCAACACCGCACCTCAATGTGTCGTTATTTTTTTCTTCATTCCTTCGTTGTTGGTGAACTTACCTGCACGTTGATGGAGAAGAACCCCTTCCGGTTCCTGAAGACCTCGCCATCGGGACCGCCAGGTCCCTTTATTTTGACGTGGGTGCAGTCAATGCACCCACTGACGCCTGGGAAGTTTCCGATCTGGTAAAACTCCAGCATCCTTTGATCGAAGTCCGCTGCGCTCTCGGGGAATTGGACCAGGCGGGGGAAGAGAGATGCAGCCAGGACCCGCGACACTCGCTCGATGACCCGGCAAACCGTCGGTTGCGAGACGTTCCCAAGGTCCCCCGCAGTTGGAAAGTTCCGGCTCCATAAAACCTCAGAGCAATGAGGAGCTGCAGCATCGGAGAGAGCGGCAGACCGCTCGCCGCCAGCGGCAGGGACTCGAGGAGGCTTACCACGGTCGACTTGCCAAAGCGGTACCGCTTCAGGAATTCGCGGTCGTTGAAATGTTCGAGTGGGTTGAGCCTGTCCCTGCAACCACGTCTAGGCACGTCGACTGGTTCGTTGTCGTCTCGGCCGTCATAAAGGAGCTCATCCACGCGCAGGACCAAGTCAACGAAATCCGCGAACGACGCGTCGTCCGCCATGACTGAACTCTCGAGTGCCGCTTCAAGGTAGCTCCAACGCAGATTCCAGATCTCGAGTAAATTTTGGAGTATTTCTCAAGTCGAGTGGAGTTTCGAGCGGAGGTCCCCTCAAGTCGAGTAGCGCTTAAGAATACGGCGATAAGTTCTAGGACGTATTAAACTATGATTAAAAATAGCATTGCATTGAACAGAAATGATTGAATATGAATGATTACCTTGCATTTCCATGCTGTGTAGTGTACTTAGCAAAACTCCACTTAACAGTACGGAGATAGCCTCGCCGCCTCGGTGGCCTCGGAGCAAAAACGGCGCGCGAACCCAGCGAACCGATGGATGGCTTTCGATTGGGTTGCATTTTTCTAGGCTTAATTAATTTGCACCACTGATCTCAATGACAATTGCTGGATCGCGCTTGCCGCTCTCGCAAGTGAAGCCACCGGACTTCACTCGCTTGGGATACGATTTGCCGTTTTTGCTAGCCTTTGCTGCGGTTTTCCAGCGTGCTGTGGACACGTTTTCTACTCGTTCGTCGTCATTCGCCGAAGAAGTTTTTTGAAGACTCTGTGTATTGTTGAGACTTGCCGTTGTGAACACGTGGAAAATTTTACGAAAGTGCAGTGTCGCAGGAAAAAGGCACAACGCGTCGAAAGGAAGGGCTGGCGGCGTGTTCAAACCTTCCTTGGCACGCCGAAGTGCCGTGTCTCTTTGCCTTCGCACGCTTGGATACCGACCAAGAATCGACGCCGTGTGGATGTGTTTTGCGAGTGCAATGTGCGTGAAGCCGTATCAAAAGGTACAACTCGTCGAAAACAAGTGTCGCCGGTGTCGCGGCGTGATCAAAGCTTCCTTGGCACGCCGAGTGATGCATCTTTGTGCCTTCACACGCTTGGACACCGGTCGAGAATTGACGCCGCGCCAAAGTTCTGAACGTGTGTCGCGCGTAGAAGCCTTTAGATCATTTATATATATCGGCCACGGAGTTCTGGATCGTCCAGCTGTTCCGGTGAGTTGCTATCAATAAAAGGGAGAGATCTGTACGTGTTCTTATGTACAATATTAACCATGGCTATGTCCCAAATCTACTCTAATAGATTCCGTGGGAGTGGAGCCAGGGGGGTTTTCGAAAGCAAAAGTACAAGACGGCGAGAATGAAAATCTTTGAAGCGCGGCCGATATGGTCGTGTGCAATCTGCTGACCAATTACAATTAGGCGAGCCGCGCTCAAACGTCAAGTGCAATTAAGTAGGTTGATAAGCCAGCACTGATCAGTGATGAGGAGCTGTTGTGCACGGTATTGTGAAAAATCGTCTAAGGACGAAAAAAAGACGTACCTTCCCCCCATCTTCCGTCGCTAGTGGACGCTGGATTAAGCTCGTTGCTAAACCGCGAGGGGAAAAGACGCTGATCCAGAGGCACGAACAGCTTCCCGCACATTGCACTCGCTAGACACATACACACGGCGTCCGTTCTTGGTCGGTATCCAAGCGTGCGAAGGCACAGAGACACGGCACTTCGGCGTGCCAAGGAAGCTTTGAACACGCCGCCAGCCCTTCCTTTCGACGCGTTGTGCCTTTTTCCTGCGACACTGCACTTTCGTAAAATTTTCCACGTGTTCACAACGGCAAGTCTCAACAACACACAGAGTCTTCAAAAAACTTCTTCGGCGAATGACGACGAACGAGTAGAAAACGTGTCCACAGCACGCTGGAAAACCGCAGCGCCGGCTGTGTGAATGAGGCCCTAGGCCTCATTCACACAGCCGGCGCCTCTCCCGTCCCGTCACCGTCAAGGGGAGCACGCCGGGGCGGGGACGCGACGGCAGCGTGTCCGGACAGGCCGCGCAAGCAAAGCGACGACGGACGACGGCCGCGACGGCAGGATTGGATTGGATCGGATTGCGACGACTAATTATGAGACAGGGAGAATTCTGTTCATTTTATTCTAATAGTTCTTTTAAATCTGTTAAACGGCAGTGTATACGCTTATTTATTCAACTTAAAGTACAAAATAAAGAGATAATTGTGCCTGAACATTAGTGCGTACGTTTATTTTTTCGTAAATTGAGGGATCTGGCACACTTCAATGGTGACGGCTGGCAACAGGACAGATTTGTTTATGTTGATGGCAGTGTCTGCGTCGACCCGGTCTACGCAACGCCTAGCGTTAGGTAGACCCAGAATTCTGAGTGGCTATTAAGAAAAAGTCACGTGTCTATATAAATTGAGTGAATTATTTTGTTAAGTTTATTTATATAAATTTTAAATTAGTAGAAATGAAATTATATTAGATATATTAAATGCACTCTGAGATAATTATTATATGCAATGTCACGTGTTACATTTGATGAGAAGCGGGAGAATCCCTTCGTTTCCCGCGTTTTGACCGTTGTTTCCCTTTTCGGCTCCTCGTGTTCCTGCAACCTTCGCAAGTCCACCTCCATTTGTCGTGAATCCCCGTTTCGGAGCGTTGATTTGCCCTTCTTGGTGTCTTGTTGATTTTTTTACGTATGTATTTCTGTCGCGAGATTCCGATTGCCTGTGTATTTAGCCCAAAACTGGGTGTACCACGTGCTTTGATATCTGGGGGTTCCGTGACTGGGGCAACTGGGGTTTCTTGTGGAAAGACCTTCGGCATTTTCCTATTGAAACCAGACGTGGCTGTCGAGATTTAGTCGATTCGTTCTTTTTGCGGCGATTAAGCGTCTGTTCGTCATGACTGCTGGATTGACGGTCATCCTCCCGAGCCAGAGCAGCCCGCGGTGGACGTGCCGAGGTTCTGCGGGAAAGAACAAGGATGACCGGGAGACCAACACTTTCTGCAGGAGCCACAAGGCAGGCCATGGTTTCATCGAACAGCCGGGAGTGGAGCGGGATGCTGAAGGATAGCGGCGCTCACTTCAGTGAGGTCAGTCGATATGGTGAAGTTTATTTCTTCATCTGTCATTTGATTACTGCAGCACACCAGCCTCGTTCTGAAAATAAGGATGCAGGGGTAAACGTTTGGCAAGCAGAGGCAGTTTGTGTGCTATATAGATCAACATGAAATATTTGCAGTGGTATGCTCATAGGTTTAGCCTCTTGTCCAGTTAAGACCATAACATGCTCTGCATGCTGACATTGTTATTATATCTTTCTTATGTTGACAGCTATTTTGCTTAACATACTCTTTGTGCCATCTCTACGAAAGCCCCAACAGAAGGGTGGGCCAGGTAATGGGCGAAGTCACATAGATCACTTTCCCCAAGCCCTTAATCTAATGACTAACAAGCCTACCTTCATAATTTTGTGCTCGAACCACAGTTTGCTCTTGCAACAGCGGCCACGGGGCAACCGTTGCCAACTGCACCACCTTAAAGCCCCTTTATGTTTCAAAAGTAGCGCAAGGTGCGCCGATGCACGAGGTACGTGCTACGTGCAGCCCTTGGGAAGATCATGGCAGCACAGCGCAGCACTGAGCTAAATTTCAGCCGCCATGTTCTTCCCAGAAGGTGGTGCCCGGCACAAGTCTCGAGCATTTCCACAACAATGAATGGTGCCGCTTTTCCCAGGATAGAAAGGCTTTACACCACCTACGAGCCATCGGAGCCAATCCAAGGCCCTGTGAGTGTTAAGGCTGATCCACACATACAGCGGAGCGCTCAGTTAGCGCTTCATGAGCGCTGGAAGCAGCGCAGTGTAAGTGCGCTCCTTGTGCCGTGCTTGCTGCTGCGAAGCAACGCATGCACGGCGATTCCGTTGTTATTTTTCCTTTGGCATTGAAAGAAGAGGAAGTAAAAGAGCCGCTCTCCAGGCAAAGGGTTGGGCAAGCGATTCAGAGTCATGGACTCTGAGCAACTAATTGATTGGGTACGACCTTATCACTTTCTATTCAACATGCGTGATCCTGGTTTCAGAGACACGCAGTTAAAAAATAATCACCTTCTAAAGAGCTCTGTGTCCCGGTCCCTCGGCCTGGGAACGAGGTTCACCGGATACCCGTCAATATCTCGGTGGCGAAAGATTTCGTGCACTCAGAAGGCTCTTCTGGGCGTTAAGTCGTCCACACACATATGCACTAATTGCGTATGTAAGGGCATTTGTCGCCTTTCTATTTCAGCATCCCACATGCCCGTCATGGTACTGTTGCACACCCAACCACAGGAACCTGAACATCAGTACACGTGCTAATCTGCAGCAATAACGGTCGTACAAGGAGCGCTACTAAAGCGCTACTAAAGCGCTGATTGCGCTCTATATTACACTCTAAGAAAAAAGGGAGCGCGACTTAGTCCCCGAAGGGAGCAAGTGCGTTGCCACAACCATTAGTCCCCTCGGGGACTAACGGTAAGGGGAGTAACAGTTGCGCCCCCCTTATTAGTCTTTCGCACTAGCACCGTTAGGACTAACTGTTACACCGTTTCAATTGCACCTCGAGGACCAACTGTTAGGCCCTTGCACTAGGTCTCCTGGGACCAATTGTTACACCGTTTCAATTGAACCCCGAGGACGAACTGTTAGGCCCTTGCACTTCGACCCCAAGGACTAACTGTTACACCGTTTCAAATGAACCCCGAGGACCAACCGTTAGGCCCTTGCACTTGAACCCCTGGGTCTAAACGTTGCGCCGTTGGATTTAGACCCCTGGGACTAAAGGTTTATCCTTTGCATTTGGTCCCCAGCCACAAATCACCAAAACGAAATCGTCCAGTTCAGGTTAAACGTAGCTTTATTGCCTCGTAAATACACATCGCATTCAAGGATGACTAAAGTCAAAATTCCTGAGCGGTAGACTTCACGATAAGGCCAGATTCCGAAGAGTGCACTTGCGTCGACGATGGCTTGAACACTGGGACGGCTGTTCAAACCGGTCGTGGTCCAAGCACCGTTTATTGGGGCACCTGCAGCTTCTTGCCTGTTTGCGAGGAATTTGGATTATTAGCAACAGGGGCAGCATGAAATACCCGATCGCTCAGCAAAAGTATGAGATATAACACACACATATTAAAATAACAAATAGGCTACAAAAGTGCTACAATGGTTCACATCTAACATGCGATCTGTTGACAGCAGACCAGCGCAATATTATATTTTTAGTAGACCGTTCGCTGCGAATTACAGACCCAGCGTGTGCGTGCCCAAACTATGCTTCAAAGTGACGGAACGAGCTCCCGCCATCAACGCGAAAGTCTGTACAACCGAATGAATGTCTCCATTAAGGCCGGTTCTCACACGCAGCGAAGCGCTGAAGTAGAGCTGCTCACGTGTCGTGAGCTGCTTTTCGTCTGCCATGAGCAACAGTTTTGACGGTGCGATACACAGCTGGTGAAAGCTCCCGTCAGCACGCGTTTAGCGCTAGGTCAGCGCTATGCTTGTAGCTCTCAGCTGCATATGTAAAGAGGCCTTTATGGTAAAACGATCCTGCCAGGGTCTGCAAAACACAAAAAATAAGCGATCGGTAGAACTGGAGTTTTGCTCG